CACTATATCTGAAGATGTGGATACACATTTGAAAAGACTTGATGTAGTACTTGGTAAGCTTGAAGAAGCCAATTTAAAGATCAAACTGTCTAAATGTCAATTTTTCAGATCAGAAATTAAGTTTCTGGGTCACGTAGTCACTCCTAGAGGGGTTACGACTGACCAAAGTAAAGTAACTGCAGTACTAAATTTTCCAACTCCCAAAACTGCTGATGCCGTAAGATCCTTTGTGGGCTTAGCAGGTTTTTATAGATCTTTCATTGCCAATTTTTCTTCCATAGCTGCTCCTCTAACTGAGTTGCTTAAAGATGCTCCTTTCGTTTGGACCTTCCGTCAAGAAAGAGCATTCCAAACACTAAAAGAAAAGCTAACATCTGCTCCAATTTTGAAATTTCCAGATTTTTCTAAGCCCTTCTATCTGACAACTGATGATAGTTCAATTGGCATATGTGCCGTACTAGCTCAGAAGACCGATGGCAAGTACATACAATGCAGTTGCATTTGCTAGCCGAGTCCTTACGAAGGCTGAACGTAATTATACAGTAACTGAGCAAGAAGCTTTAGCAATAGTATGGTCTTTAAAGCACTTCCGAGACATTATTTATCAGTACTCTGTTCATGTCTTGACAGACAATGCTCCACTGAAAGCCTTTATTCAAGAACAAACAACCTACTGGAAGGTTAGCCAGATGGACCTTGACTATCCAAGAATTCAATCCTACTTTTGAACACTTACCTGGCAAGTCAAATGTAGTCGCAGATGCCTTATCACGACATGTTAGTATAGTAACTGCAAACCCTCCATTTACCGCCGAGGACGTAAAGAATGCTCAAAGAACAGATCCCATGTGTTGTTAACGTTTATAGAGCAGTCTATTTGTAGTTGATACCTCGTGTCACTGTGTGCGACTCAGAATGAATACCAGTATTGTAGATCATGTTCATTTCTTTTCCCTTGTGCTTGCAGTGAGAGATAGTAGATCCATTCTCCCTTGCTCAGATTTCATGTTATAGCATTATCTTTTTTTCAACCAGGGAAAGTCATCCACTCCACCTAGTTTGTTCATTCCTCCAGTAAGAAAGAACCGATCCCTTGTGGTCTGGTGTGATTCGATTCCTGCTCCAGGAAGATCTTATTCTGACTGTGAAGCCACCAGCACCCATTAGTGACTTTGTAATGAGCCAAAAATTACTGTATCGAACAGCCGAGTTGGGTACTCCAAGCAGAAGAGTATACCAATTAGTAATTCCACAGTCACTAGTGAATGTAGCTGTATCTTTAGTAGATGCTTGTTCAGATCTCCCTCAGTCAAGACATGTGATAGCCATTGCAAAGGAATTCGAACCTCCCAAAGACAATAACCATTCTGCATATGTAAATCTTACCCTCGCAGAGTTGGGTTTAAATGTACATAGTCTGTATAATTAGATGTTCAAGTTGTATGAAGTTGTCCACTGTGTGTTTATTATTAGCTGATCAGTTTTTCAGATTTTTTTTTTTTGTGTGTTCATGTTCCCTCCAAATTCTGAGAATTTAGCAATAATGATCTGTGCGTGTCAGATCTGTATTTGCTGTTACTTACTTTCACTTTGTAAATATATATATATTCTTCCTTAGAATCAGTAGAGTGCATGAATACAGATCGATCGATTAATTCCATCCTTTATTATACTATGATTTGTTTTTACAGTTCATAATGTATTACGTTAACACCCATTACGATACCACCCATTAGTTCTAAGTTACATATGTCTTTGCTATTGTATAGAATCAGCCCAGAGCCACCTGCCTGTTCAGCCTATAGCATAGTATTGTATGTCAAGACAACATACGTAACATGACCAAGCTGTCAGCATAGTTGCTGATCCCCTGTATATGTATATGTTATCTGAGTATCATAGTTAGTACTATCCATATGTTTTACATAGCTGACCCCTTGCTAGGCTCATTGACTAGCTTGTGTGACGTCACGTGATACCGTATGTGAGCACTGCGCTCCCGGTCTCGTCCTCACTCTGCGCTTAGGTCTACGACAGGCAACACAGGCAGGCTGGGCCTCTCCCTCTCACACTCTGCTAATATAAGTGTTACCATCCAACGACTGTGTTTAACTCCAACCATCACATCTCCACGAACCCTCTCGACAGTGGTAGTTGTGGTAGTTATAACAGTTGGACAGTGGTGGTAGTTGTGGTAATCATAGCAGTGGTAGTAGTTGTAGTAGTCATAGCAGTGGTGGTAGTTGTGGTAGTCTTAGCAGTGGTGGCAGTTGTGATAGTCATAGCAGTGGTGGTAGCTGTGATAGTTATAGTAGTGGTGGTAATTGTGGTAGTCATAGCAGTAGTGGTGGTTGTGGTAGTCATAGCAGTGGAGGTGGTGGTAGTTGTGGTAGTCCTGGAAATTGTGGTCAAGTAGTTGTAGTAGTAATAGCAGTAGTGGTAGTTGTGATAATAATAGCAGTAGTGGTGGATGTGGTAGTCATAGCAGTGGAGGTGGTGCTAGTTGTGGTAGTCACAGCAGTAGTGGTAGTTGTGGTGGTCATAGCAGTGGTAGTAGTTGTGATAGTTATAACAGAGGTGGTAATTGAGGTATTCATAGCAGTGTTGGTAGTTGTGGTAGCCGTAGCACTAGTGGTAGATGTGGTAGTTATAGCAGTAGTGGTAGTTGAGGTAGCCATAGCAGTGGTGGTAATTATGGTAGTCATAGGAGTGGTGGTAGTTGTGGTAGTCAGAGCAGTGGTGGTAGTTGTGGTAGCCATGGCAGTGGTGGTAGTTGTGGCAGTCATAGCAGTGGTGGTAGTTGTGGTAGTCATAGGAGTGGTGGTAGTTGTGGTAGTCATAGCAGTGGTGGTAGCTGTGATAGCCATAGCATTGGTGGTACTTGTGGTAGTCATAGCAGTGGTGCCTGTCCACCTACACTACAATACACATAAGACAAAAGTAATGGTAAACAGAGGTAGAACCACGGGTACACTGGGGGTCTGTGAGTACTCAAGTAACGAGAGTAGTTACGCCAGGAAGAGTATTGATGGGTAGAGGGATGTACGTGTAGCTTCTGCCTTTCTTCCGCTTCATTATTTCTTATAAATTCTATACCATTTTTTTCAACACGGTATGGCATATTTTTTTCACTTGTGTCATGTCGGAGTGCCCTGAAGGAGCAGAGGGCAGGGAGAGAGCCTCAAATATCTAGACAGTACATGATAATTTTTAAGGCAGACTGAAGAGAGAGCTCTTCTCAGCAGACAGCCTCTGCTATCTGTTACACTCTCCTTTCTCTCTCTCTCTCTCTCTCTCTCTCTCTCTCTCTCTCTCTCTCTCTCTCTCTCTCTCTCTCTCTCTCTCTCTCTCTCTCTCTCTCTCTCTCTCTCTCTCTCTCTCTCTCTCTCTCTCCCCTGTGTTGGAAGTTCTATACAGCAACTTGGGTGGCAAAAGTATCTCAGGGAATGTGAGTGTAGCCACCTGCCTTAACATTGGCTGTATAATGAGTTTGAGAAGGTCCCTGAAGCTAACATTCCACAAGTGTGTTAGGACATTCCCCTGCGGTACGCTACCACCAAGCTTCCTTCATACTCTTCAACAATAAGAACTTCCCTGACGATCCATTCTTCAAGGTAAACTTCAAGAAGCTTAAAAAAAAAAGGCACACAATGCGGGTTGCTACATTTTATTGTGAAGACGTCTCGTTCACTGGGGACTACGTTGTTAAATTCTTACCGATAAAGTCTTAATTGCATTCTGTTGGTGTACTCTACCGTTGTACTGAACATTTTAAGATGTTCTGGAAAGCTAGAAATCCATGTTATATTTTAGCTTCACCGCATCTTGTAGGCACATATACGCAAGTCTTATGTACAAATTATAGGCACATTTTTGTTAACACACCGGTCGTCTCCCACCAAGGCAGAGTGACCCGAAAAAATAAGAAATAAACAGTTTTTCTTCTTACATTTAGTAATTTATACAGGTTACTAGACCTTTGCTCCCGGCATTGTAGTCTCTAACTACAAGCATGGCTTACGGAGGAAGGATTCTTCTCTACTTCCCCATGGAAATTATACACACACATATGTACACATAATACGTAAACATCTAATGATGGGATGTTTGTTTACATGGTGGACCTGTTAGCCAGCGGTGTGCCACCAAGTTTCTCACTGATCCTGACAACGCAAATGATTTTGAACTAGTACAGTGACTGGTGCCACATAGTGGAGAGGTTCACGCAGTGACTGGTGCCACATAGTGGAGAGGTTCACGCAGTGACTGGTGCCACATAGTGGAGAGGTTCATGACTGGTGCCACATAGTGGAGAGGTTCATGACTGGTGCCACATAGTGGAGAGGTTCACGCAGTGACTGGTGCCACATAGTGGAGAGGTTCATGACTGGTGCCACATAGTGGAGAGGTTCACGCAGTGACTGGTGCCACATAGTGGAGAGGTTCACTCAGTGGTGCCACATAGTGGAGAGGTTCACGCAGTGACTGGTGCCACATAGTGGAGAGGTTCACTCAGTGACTGGTGCCACATAGTGGAGAGGTTCACTCAGTTGTGCCACATAGTGGAGAGGTTCACGCAGTGACTGGTGCCACATAGTGGAGAGGTTCACTCAGTGACTGGTGCCACATAGTGGAGAGGTTCACTCAGTGACTGGTGCCACATAGTGGAGAGGTTCATGACTGGTGCCACATAGTGGAGAGGTTCACTCAGTGACTGGTGCCACATAGTGGAGAGGTTCACGCAGTGACTGGTGCCCCCATAGTGGAGAGGGTTTATGACTGGTGCCACAAGTGGAGAGGTTCACTCAGTGACTGGTGCCACATAGTGGAGAGGTTCACGCAGTGACTGGTGCCACATAGTGGAGAGGTTCATGACTGGTGCCACATAGTGGAGAGGTTCACTCAGTGACTGGTGCCACATAGTGGAGAGGTTCACGCAGTGACTGGTGCCACATAGTGGAGAGGTTCATGCAGTGCTGTCCACATATGGAGGGGTTCACCAAGTGACTGGTGCCACATAGTGGAAGGTTCAGCAGTGACTGGGCCAAAGGGAGGGTTCCGCAGTGCCCGGGACATATGGAAGTTCATGCAGTGATGGTCCCACATTGGAGATTTCACGCAGGACGGTGCCACAAGTGAGAGTTCAGCAGTGACGGGTGCCACATAGTGGAGAGGTTCCGCAGTGACTGGTGCCACATATTTGAGGGGTTCTTTCAGTGAGGTGCCACAAGGGGAGAGGTTCAGCAGTGACGGGTGCCACATTTTTGAGAGGTTCACGTACGGGTCCACATAGTGGAGAGGTTCGACTGGCCACAAGTGGAGAGGTTCACATGACGGTGCCACATAGGGAGGGGTTTTCATGACGGGTCCCACATATTGAAAGGTTCAAAAGTGACTGGTGCCACATATGGAATTTTCATGACGATCCCACAGAGTGGAGAGGTTCAGCAGTGACTTCCCACAAGGGGAAGGTTCATACTGACCCACATAGGGGAGAGGTTCACGCATGACTGGGCCACATAGTTGAGATTTTATTCAGTGACTGTGCCACATAGTGGAAGGTTCATACAGTGACGGGGTGCCACATATTGAGGGGTTCATGCATGACGGGTTGCCACATAGGGGAAAGGGGTTCATGACTAATGCCACAGAGTGGAGAGGTTCTCGCAGTAACTGGTGCTACATAGTTGAGAGGTTCATGCAGTGACTGGTGCCACATAGTTGAGAGGTTCATGCAGTGACTGGTGCCACATAGTGGAGAGGTTCATGACTCGTGCCACAGAGTGGAGAGGTTCTCGCAGTGACTTGTGCCACATAGTGGAGAGGTTCACGCAGTAACTGGTGCCACATAGCTGAGAGGTTCATGCAGTGACTGGTGCCACATAGTGGAGAGGTTCATGACTCGTGCCACAGAGTGGAGAGGTTCATGACTCGTGCCACAGAGTGGAGAGGTTCTCGCAGTGACTGGTGCCACATAGTGGAGAGGTTCATGCAGTGACTGGTGCCACATAGGGGGAGGGTTCACGCAGTGACTGGTGCCACATAGGGGGAGGGTTCACGCAGTGACTGGTGCCACATAGGGGGAGGGTTCACGCAGTGACTGGTGCCACATAGGGGAGGGGTTCACGCAGCCTAGTAGTTTAGCTGTCTAGTGGTATACGGGTCTGGTGGTCTAATAGACTAGGGTCTAGCATACTAGGATTCAAGTGGTCTAGTTGTCTAGGGGGTCTAGTGGTCTAGGGTCTAGTGGTTTAGCAATCTAGTGGCCTAGTGGTCTTGCAGTCTAGTGGCCAAATAGTCTAGTGGTCTGGCAGTTTAGTGGTCTAATAGTCTAGTGGTCTGTCAGTTTAGTGGTCTAGTAGTCTAGTGGTCTGGCAGTTTAGTGGTCTAGTAGTCTAGTGGTGTGGCAGTCTAGTGGTCTAGTGGTCTAGCGGTGTAGCAGTCAAGTGGTCTAGTGCTGCAGGGGTGAGTGTAAGTGGTAAAGTGACGTGCTTGTATGGGCGTTATCGTCCACTTGAGTGACTGGAAGTGAACCTACAAGAGGCAGTAGTTCTTCTCCTGCAGCTATTGAGATGAGTCAAGTGACTCACCTGGCAAGGTACTGACGACTCTCTCCAAAGCTAGTTAATGGTGGGAATGTTTACGAAGAGCCAGTCTCTCTCTCTCTCTCTCTCTCTCTCTCTCTCTCTCTCTCTCTCTCTCTCTCTCTCTCTCTCTCTCTCTCTCTCCTCTCTCTCTCTCTCTCTCCCTTGCTAAATATGCAGATTCGCCAACTTCCCCACACCAGGGTCGGGGCTACTGGGTAAAACAGGTCGGTGTAGAGATTTTAATTTTCCATCACGGTGGTGTCTACATCACTGTTTGATGGCTAGCTGCTCCCCCTGCTGCTCTCAACTCACCTAAACTGCTGCTACCCTTCCCTTCTCCCACCCATTGTTGCTCTCAGGGCTGAGGGAGGGGGGAGACGGTGAGGGTTTGTTTGGGGTAGGTAATGGAACGGGATTGGGGAGGGGTGGATTTGTTGTCGGGGGTAAAGGGTTGGTGGCGTGGAGGGGTGGGGCTGGGCAAAAAAGGGGAAGGGGGAGATTGATGCATGTACTCACCCCCTTAAAGCATATAGTGAGTGCTTTATGTAGTCTACAAGATGATGTTCCCCAAAGGTCAGTTCTAGAACCTTTATTATTCTTAATATACGTAAATGACCTGCCAGAGAGGATTAACTGATATATTTTATTATTTACTGACGTAGGAAAACTAATGAGAGGAATACAGACTAAAGATGAGAGATATTCTTCTTAGTACACCGACCGCGAGGCCTGGTCTTGGACACACCCGCCACCCTGTTGACTCTCTGAACACTCCATGTAAACTCCAGGTAGGTAGACTCCAGGTAGGTAGACTCTAGGTAGACTCCAGGTAGGTAGACTCTAGGAAGACTCCAGGTAGGTAGATTCTAAGTACGTAGACTCTAGGAAGACTCCAGGTAGGTAGACTCTAGGTAGACTCCAGGTAGGCAGACTCTAGGTAGACTCCAGGTAGGTAGACTCTAGGAAGACTCCAGGTAGGTAGACTCTATGTAGACTTCAGGTAGGTAGACTCTACGTAGACTCCAGGTAGGTAGACTCCAGGTAGGTAAACTTTAGGTAGACTCCAGGTAGGTAGACTCTACGTAGACTCCAGGTAGGTAGACTCTAGGTAGGTAGACTCTAGGAAGACTCCAGGTAGGTAGAGTCTAGGTAGACTCCAGGTAGGTAGACTCTAGGTAGGTAGACTCTAGGAAGACTCCAGGTAGGTAGACTCTAGGTAGACTCCAGGTAGGTAGACTCCAGGTAGGTAGACTCTAGGTAGACTCCAGGTAGGTAGACTCTAGGTAGGTAGACTCTAGGAAGACTCCAGGTAGGTAGACTCTAGGTAGACTCCAGGTAGGTAGACTCTAGGAAGACTCCAGGTAGGTAGACTCTAGGTAGACTCCAGGTAGGTAGACTCTAGGTACGTAGACTCTAGGAAGACTCCAGGTAGGTAGACTCTAGGTAGACTCCAGGTAGGTAGACTCTAGGAAGAGTCCAGGTAGGTAGACTCTAGGTAGACTCCAGGTAGGTAGACTCTAGGTAGGTACACTCTAGGAAGACTCCAGGTAGGTAGACTCCAGGTAGGTAGACTCTAGGAAGACTGCAGTTAGGTAGACTCTAGGTAGACTCCAGGTAGGTAGAATCTAGGAAGACTCCAGGTAGGTAGACTCTAGGTAGACTCCAGGTAGGTAGACTCTAGGTAGGTAGACTCTAGGAAGACTCCACGTAGGTAGACTCTAGGTAGACTCCAGGTAGGTAGACTCTAGGAAGACTGCAGGTAGGTAGACTCTAGGTAGACTCCAGGTAGGTAGACTCTAGGAAGACTCCAGGTAGGTAGACTCTAGGTAGAAGATTGAGACACTTATGCAGCATATGGGAATCTTTATTCAGGAAACGTTTCGCCACACAGTGGCTTCATCAGTCCAATACAAAGAGGAAGGCGTAAGGAGAGGAGGAGAATGAGGTAATCAGTCCCTCAACCTGGAGTCGATGTGTTCAGTCCATCAATCTTGTAGAATGTACAGCATAGGGCCGTAGACGTGGCTTATATACTGTAGTGAGGTGACGTGAAGCAGATGGAGGCGGGGTCATAGTGGTACCATCCACTAGTCGAAGTAGGTCTTCGTCCAAAGGTTGAACAAGTGTTGAAGAATTCTTTGTAACAAGATCCCATGATGCTGCAGTGTCTGACAGTTGTGATGAATGGTTTGAACTTGTCGGTTTTTCAAACCATTCATCACAACTGTCGGACACGGCAGCATCATGGGATCTTGTTACAAAGAATTCTTCAACACTTGTTCAACCTTTGGACGAAGACCTACTTCGACTAGTGGATGGTACCACTATGACCCCGCCTCCATCTGCTTCACGTCACCTCACTACAGTATATAAGCCACGTCTACGGCCCTATGCTGTACATTCTACAAGATTGATGGACTGAACACATCGACTCCAGGTTGAGGGACTGATTACCTCATTCTCCTCCTCTCCTTACGCCTTCCTCTTTGTATTGGACTGATGAAGCCACTGTGTGGCGAAACGTTTCCTGAATAAAGATTCCCATATGCTGCATAAGTGTCTCAATCTTCAACTTGTCGGTTTTTCAAACCATTCATCACAGACTCTAGGTAGACTCCAGGTAGGTAGACTCTAGGTAGGTAGACTCTAGGAAGACTTCAGGAAGGTAGACTCTAGGTAGGTAGACTCTAGGAAGACTCCAAGTAGGTAGACTCTAGGTAGACTCCAGGTAGGTAGACTCTAGGTAGACTTCAGGTAGGTAGACTCTAGGTAGGTAGATTCTAGGAAGACTCCAGGTAGGTAGACTCTAGGTAGACTCCAGGTAGGTAGACTCCAGGTAGGTAGACTCTACGTAGACTCCAGGTAGGTAGACTCTAGGTAGACTCCAGGTAGGTAGACTCTAGGTAGGTAGACTCTAGGAAGACTCCAGGTAAGTAGACTCTAGGTAGACTCCAGGTAGGTAGACTCTAGGTAGGTAGACTCTAGGAAGACTCCAGGTAGGTAGACTCCAGGTAGGTAGACTCCAGGTAGGTAGACTCTAGGTAGACTCCAGGTAGGTAGACTCTAGGTGGACTCCAGGTAGGTAGACTCTAGGTAGACTCCAGGTAGGTAGACTCTAGGTAGGTAGACTCTAGGAAGACTCCAGGTAGTTAGACTCTAGGTAGACTCCAGGTAGGTAGACTCTAGGTAGGTAGACTCTAGGAAGACTCCAGGTAGGTAGACTCTAGGTAGACTCCAGGTAGGTAGACTCCAGGTAGGTAGACTCTAGGTAGACTCCAGGTACGTAGACTCCAGGTACGTAGACTCTAGGTAGACTCCAGGTAGGTAGACTCTAGGTAGACTTCAGGTAGGTAGACTCCAGGTATGTAGACTCTAGGTGGACTCCAGGTAGGTAGACTCTAGGTAGACTCCAGGTAGGTAGACTCTAGGTAGGTAGACTCTAGGAAGACTCCAGGTAGGTAGACTCTAGGTAGACTCCAGGTAGGTAGACTCCAGGTAGGTAGACTCTAGGTAGACTCCAGGTACGTAGACTCCAGGTACGTAGACTCTAGGTAGACTCCAGGTAGGTAGACTCTAGGTAGACTTCAGGTAGGTAGGCTCTAGGTAGGTAGACTCTAGGAAGACTCCAGGTAGGTAGACTCTAGGTAGACCCCAGGTAGGTAGACTCTAGGTAGACTCCAGGTAGATAGACTCTAGGTAGACTCCAGGTAGGTATACTCTAGTAGACCCCAGGCAGGTAGACTCTAGGTAGACTCCAGGTAGGTAGACTCTAGG